GAAGAGTTGGTGGTGGTGGTGGGGAGAGTTGGTTGTGGTGGTGGTAGTGGTGGGGGTGTTGGTGGTTGTGGTAGTGTTGGTTGTGGTTGTAGTTGTGAGGAGAGTTGGTGGTTGTGGTGGTGGGAAGAGATGGGGGTGATGGTGGTGGTGGTGATGTTAATAGTGATGGTGGTGGTGGTGTTTGTGGTGGTGGTGGTGATGTTAATGGTGGTGGTGGTGGTGGTGGTGGTGAGAGGAGTTGTTGGTGGTGGTGGTGGGAAGAGTTGGTGGTTGTGGTGGTGGGGGACAGTTCGTGGTGGTGGTGGATAGTTGGTGGTGGTAGAGTAGGTGGTGGTGTGGTGGTGGTGGGAAGAGTTGGTTGTTGGTGAGAGAGAGTGAGGAATTTTTCCAGCAGAAATTTATTTGATTGATGTACTTTAACTTATTGACTTATTAGTTTACTTAGATTTAATTTTAATTAAGAATGGACTGTATATTTAATTGTGGCTTGTATCTGTAAAGTGGGCAGTATTTGTAAAGTGGACTGTATCTGTAAAGTGGGCAGTATTTGTAAAGTGGACTGTATCTGTAAAGTGGGCAGTATTTGTAAAGTGGACTGTATCTGTAAAGTGGACTGTATTTGTAAAGTGGGCAGTATTTGTAAAGTGGGCAGTATTTGTAAAGTGGACAGTATTTGTAAAGTGGACAGTATTTGTAAAGTGGACTGTATTTGTAAAGTGGACTGTATTTTATTAAATTGTCGAATCGGATTACAGCTGGAAGTTATCCGATTCACAAGTTTGGGGGTATACGTTGGTAGCCTATCACACCAGGTATGGATAATGGCAATAAACTACAAAATGTTAGTAATGCTACTAAATGAGTTAGTAAATACAGTTGTTTTTTAGCTAGCAAGTAGCAACAGGCTGATGATAGGCACTGGACATTCTTCTATCCCGTGTATGAAACCTCGTTGGCTAGAACTCTTATGGTGACCAGGAATGTCTCGTGTTGCCACAGGTTGACTATGTTAGTTCTTGCTGCCCTTGAACTGCACCTGACGAGTAACTAATAAGTAGTAATCTGTAACTACTATACACAGTATATACCAGGGAAGGAAGTTATATTATGGAACAATGGTTACCGTTCCGGGTCGTGTGCAGATATTATAACCGGACTACAATATACACAAACTACTTGGCCAAGTAAATTGTTGATATTATACTAGTAGACCGGGTACAATACTTCCCAAGGTAACGCAATCATGGGTTGAGCGGACTTCTATAGTTCCTATGTCACCACATTCTCGAGAAGTGTTGATTAGTAATGAGAGCTGGTACGTGTGACTGTCTCGACTGTCATGCGCACAATGGTGTCGCTCAGCGTCTTCCTCCTCAACTCCTCCCCATTGGTGGTGGTGGTGAGAAGAGTTGTTGTTGGTGGTGGTGATTGTGATTGGGTAGAGCTGGTGGGGGTAGTAGTGGGGGAGAGTGGATGGTAGGGCAAAATTGGTGGTGGTGGTGGGATGACTTGGTGGTGGTGGTGGTGGTGGTGGTGTTGGTGGGGAGAGTTGGTGGTGGTGGTGGGGTGAGTTGGTGGTGGTGGTGGTGGGGTGAGTTGGTGGAGGTGGTGGTGGTGGTAGCAATGGGAAGAGTTAGTGGTGGTGGGGGGGGGTTGAGGGTGGTGGTGGTGGTGGGAAAACTTTGTGATGGCGGGGAGTGGGGGGGTGTTGGTGATGGTTGTGGGAGAGAGTTGGTGATGGTGGTGGTGAGGGAGAGTTGATGGTGGTGATGTTCGTGGAAAGAATTGGTGGTGATGGTCTAGTGGTTGAGTATGTGACGGGTTTGTATTTCCAGTGTTGCAGGTTCCAGTGTCCATCTCATTGCCCTAGTTGATTTTCTCATTTATATATATATATATATATATATATATATATATATATATATATATATATATATATACATATATATATATATATATATATATATATATATATATATATATATATAGTCGCTGGTAAACGTTGGAGATGGATAATGGTCTGCGACACAATGGCTCCCATCCCACACAGAGAGGGAGCCGGCTCCCATCCCACACAGAGAAGGAGCTGGCTCCCACCCCACACAGAGAGAGAGCTGGCTCCCATCCCACACAGAGAGGGAGCTGGCTCCCACCCCACACAGAGAGGGAGCCGGCTCCCATCCCACACAGAGAGGGAGCTGGCTCCCATCCCACACAGAGAGGGAGCCGGCTCCCACCCCACACAGAGAGAGAGCTGGCTCCCATCCCACACAGAGAGGGAGCTGGCTCCCACCCCACACAGAGAGGGAGCCGGCTCCCATCCTACACAGAGAGGGAGCTGGCTCCCACCCCACACAGAGAGGGAGCCGGCTCCCACCCCACACAGAGAGAGAGCTGGCTCCCATCCCACACAGAGAGGGAGCCGGCTCCCATCCCACACAGAGAAGGAGCTGGCTCCCACCCCACACAGAGAGAGAGAGCTGGCTCCCATCCCACACAGAGAGGGAGCCGGCTCCCACCCCACACAGAGAGGGAGCTGGCTCCCATCCCACACAGAGAGGGAGCTGGCTCCCATCCCACACAGAGAGGGAGCCGGCTCCCATCCCACACAGAGAGGGATCTGGCTCCCATCCCACACAGAGAGGGAGCCGGCTCCCACCCCACACAGAGAGAGAGCTGGCTCCCATCCCACACAGAGAGGGAGCCGGCTTCCATCCCACACAGAGAGGGAGCTGGCTCCCATCCCACACAGAGAGGGAGCCGGCTCCCATCCCACACAGAGAAGGAGCTGGCTCCCACCCCACACAGAGAGAGAGCTGGCTCCCATCCCACACAGAGAGGGAGCCGGCTCCCACCCCACACAGAGAGGGAGCCGGCTCCCATCCCACACAGAGAGGGAGCCGGCTCCCATCCCACACAGAGAAGGAGCTGGCTCCCACCCCACACAGAGAGAGAGCTTGCTCCCATCCCACACAGAGAGGGAGCCGGCTCCCACCCCACACAGAGAGGGAGCTGGCTCCCATCCCACACAGAGAGGGAGCCGGCTCCCATCCCACACAGAGAAGGAGCTGGCTCCCACCCCACACAGAGAGAGAGCTGGCTCCCATCCCACACAGAGAGGGAGCCGGCTCCCACCCCACACAGAGAGGGAGCCGGCTCCCATCCCACACAGAGAGGGAGCTGGCTCCCATCCCACACAGAGAGGGAGCCGGCTCCCATCCCACAGAGAGAGAGAGCTGGCTCCCACCCCACACAGAGAGAGAGCTGACTCCCATCCCACACAGAGAGGGAGCCGGCTCCCATCCCACACAGAGACGGAGCCGGCTCCCATCCCACACAGAGAGGGAGCCGGCTCCCACCCCACACAGAGAGGGAGCTGGCTCCCACCCCACACAGAGAGGGAGCTGGCTCCCATCCCACACAGAGAGGGAGCCGGCTCCCATCCCACACAGAGAGGGAGCCGGCTCCCACCCCACACAGAGAAGGAGCTGGCTCCCACCCCACACAGAGAGGGAGCTGGGTATCATCCCACACAGAGAGGGAGCTGGCTCCCATCCCACACAGAGAGGGAGCTGGCTCCCATCCCTCACAGTGAGGGAGCCGGCTCCCATCCCACACAGAGAGGGAGCTGGCTCCCACCCCACACAGAGAGGGAGCTGGCTCCCACCCACAGAGAGGGAGCTGGCTCCCATCCCACACAGAGAGGGAGCTGGCTCCCATCCCTCACAGTGAGGGAGCCGGCTCCCATCCCACACAGAGAGGGAGCTGGCTCCCACCCCACACAGAGAGGGAGCTGGCTCCCACCCCACACAGAGAGGGAGCCGGCTCCCATCCCACACAGAGAGAGAGCTGGCTCCCATCCCACACAGAGAGGGAGCCGGCTCCCATCCCACACAGAGAGGGAGCCGGCTCCCATCCCACACAGAGAGAGAGCTGGCTCCCATCCCACACAGAGAGGGAGCCGGCTCCCATCCCACACAGAGAGTGAGCTGGCTCCCATCCCACACAGAGAGGGAGCCGGCTCCCATCCCACACAGAGAGGGAGCCGGCTCTCACCCCACACAGAGAGGGAGCCGGCTCCCACCCCACACAGAGAGGGAGCTGGCTCCCACCCCACACAGAGAGGGAGCCGGCTCCCACCCCACACAGAGAGGGAGCCGGCTCCCACCCCACACAGAGAGGGAACCGGCTCCCACCCCACACAGAGAGGGAGCCGGCTCCCACCCCACACAGAGAGGGAGCTGGCTCCCACCCCACACAGAGAGGGAGCCGGCTCCCACCCCACACAGAGAGGGAGCTGGCTCCCATCCCACACAGAGAGGGAGCCGGCTCCCACCCCACACAGAGAGGGAACTGGCTCCCACCCCACACAGAGAGGGAACCGGCTCCCACCCCACACAGAGAGGGAGCCGGCTCCCACCCCACACAGAGAGGGAGCTGGCTTCCACCCCACACAGAGAGGGAGCCGGCTCCCACCCCACACAGAGAGGGAGCTGGCTCCCATCCCACACAGAGAGGGAGCCGGCTCCCACCCCACACAGAGAGGGAACTGGCTCCCATCCCACACAGAGCTGGAAGTCTAACAGAATCAGGTGATCCATCAGCTGGAAAAAAAGAGAAAATCTGTCTCTTCTATACTTTTTTATGGGTGGTTTAATTATATACAATTTTTATAAAATAATAATAATTATATTGTTTTGATCTTGGCTGCATTTGGCTCGCCTTTCAATTTAAAAATAAAATAAAATATTTTAATTAATATAATGAATATAACTCTTAAACCCAAATATTACACCAAATTTCATGTTTCAGAAACACTTAAAATACTATTACACTTATACTATGAAAGAAATGTGCAATTAAGTTCCCCCCAATCTTGCTCCTGGATGTTAACTACCGAACACCCGGAAGGTTCTAAAGGGAATATAAAAGACTGATTCGCCTTCATAATTAACTATTCTTCACTATAACCAGGTTAAGGTCATGCCGAAAATTATAAGTTTAATCCAGCACGACACAACTCCCACGGCTGCCAGAGTAAGACACGACACAACTCCCACGACTGCCAGAGTAAGACACGACACAACTCCCACGACTGCCAGAGGAAGACACGACACAACTCCCACGACTGCCAGAGGAAGACACGACACAACTCCCACGGCTGTCAGAGGAAGACACGACACAACTCCCACGACTGCCAGAGGAAGACACGACACAACTCCCACGACTGTCAGAGGAAGACACGACACAACTCCCACGACTGTCAGAGTAAGACACGACACAACTCCCACGACTGTCAGAGGAAGACACGACACAACTCCCACGACTGCCAGAGGAAGACACGACACAACTCCCAGGGCTGCCAGAGGAAGACACGACACAACTCCCACGACTGCCAGAGGAAGACACGACACAACTCCCACGGCTGTCAGAGGAAGACACGACACAACTCCCACGACTGCCAGAGGAAGACACGACACAACTCCCACGACTGCCAGAGGAAGACACGACACAACTCCCACGACTGTCAGGGGAAGACACGACACAACTCCCACGACTGCCAGAGGAAGACACGACACAACTCCCAGGGCTGCCAGAGGAAGACACGACACAACTCCCACGACTGCCAGAGGAAGACACGACACAACTCCCACGGCTGTCAGAGGAAGACACGACACAACTCCCACGACTGCCAGAGGAAGACACGACACAACTCCCACGACTGCCAGAGGAAGACACGACACAACTCCCACGACTGTCAGAGGAAGACACGACACAACTCCCACGACTGCCAGAGGAAGACACGACACAACTCCCACGACTGCCAGAGGAAGACACGACACAACTCCCACGACTGTCAGAGGAAGACACGACACAACTCCCACGACTGCCAGAGGAAGACACGACACAACTCCCACGACTGCCAGAGGAAGACACGACACAACTCCCACGACTGCCAGAGGAAGACACGACACAACTCCCAGGGCTGCCAGAGTAAGACACGACACAACTCCCACGACTGCCAGAAGAAGACACGACACAACTCCCACGACTGCCAGAGGAAGACACGACACAACTCCCACGACTGCCAGAGGAAGACATGACGCTAAAACTTAATATAAATTCTTTCTCAAATACGATGACCAAACCACACAGTTGAAGATGGAGAGACGACGACGACGTTTCGGTCCGTCCTGGACCATTATCAAGCAGTATGTGGCAAGCAGTATGTGGCTTCATAATGGTCCAGGACGGACCGAAGCGTCGTCGTCTTCTCATCTTCTGCTGTGTGGTTTGGTCATCATATCTTCAGCTACATTATTTTGACTCGTCGTCTTCCTCAAATATCTGAAAGGTTATTAAAAAATTAAGTTGGAAGGACTTTATTTTATAATGTTTATAAACTAATAGCTATAATACTAGAATAAGGTGATGCTATATTAGTAAAGCCCCTAACTCTACATGGGGTTTTACCTTTACGTAGACGGCTGTAAGTCTTGGTGGTCAGCTTCGGGAAGATGTGTGAGGGAGCTCAAGCGGTATACACATGTGTTCTGTTCACCAGCTCTGGATATTGTAGCTGGCGTCATCGAAGGTGAGTGTGTGTGGTGTCTTGTGGTGTAGGAACACATTAACAATGTTCTCAGGAGCACCTGGGAGCATTGTGTTGACCACGAGAGCTCCGCTTCAGGACTGAGGTAGACTCGTAATGTTACGACAAAGCAGCAAATTATGGGAGCGCGATCAGTGCAGCTTCGATAAGCAGTTGCATAGTTTAATGGCTAGAACGTTGGTTTGAAATAGAACGACAAGTAATAATAAAATTCCTAATTAATGAATTTAAATATTTATTCAAATCCGTCCAACCTCTATTTTTAATAGAAATTTTACAGTTTACAGATTTTCTGTACAACCCCAGACGAGAATGGGTCAGGTGTCCAGTGTGTACACGAATAAAGCAAAAGCAAAATGGGTAAAGCTCAAATATTCCGTTAATACTGAAAACTCGAGCGGGTAAAACTAAGCAACATCTTCTTTTGACCAGGAGGAGAGCAGTAGCCGGCTGCCCTCAACACCCCCAGTGGGCACACCACCAGATCACCAAGACCCACCAACTTCCGGCACCTCCTGGCCTAGCCGGTGTCAGTGGTGTATGCCACCAGCACCGACTAGGTGGCCTAGCTGGTGGCACCGGCCAGGCCACTTCCTGGCCTAGCTGGATCCCGTCCTCCTAATGATTCCCAACGTCAAGAAACTATCGTAATAAAATCCCATCTCCTAACCAACCAGAGGACGCAAAACAGAAAACGGGACAGTGTGTCAATTTCGCGAGATGCTACCATTTTCTACTACGACAATATTTGGCCTTAGGTAGAGTATACGTCAAAATGTGACGTTCTAATAAGAGGACAGGTTGGCCAGACACCATCGTCCCGCCCTAAGAACCTGCAAGGAAACGGAAACCAAACAAAAAAATCCTATCGACTCTCCTGTCACCCGAGACAATAAGGGCGCCAGGCATCAAAATGACGGCCTGGCACCAATATCGTGACTCTAAGGCCAATAAGTGTAAAAGCTTCGCCCTCACACGCGTGGGGTCCACGGTTCGAGTCTCCTAGAGCCCGGGTGAATAGAAGGCAATAAGTGTGTTGTGTTAGCCAGCAGCCCCCGGGCGGAGCAGGTGTCCAGACGGTCTCTCGTCATCAAGGGTCAACTGGGAGTCCCATGTTTCCTTGGGACCGTGACTTATGCTGACCCACTGTTCACCTCCTGGTATAAACTCTCTCACCCCCCAGAGCCAGCATCACTTGTCCTGTTGGGTAGTTACTCCACCATTTATGTAGTTATGTATGTAGGTTAGATTAGCATTTTAAAAGCCCTACAATCACTCTCTGTGGATGATTGTTTAATAAAACACTGAACTATATGTTTAACAGATCTCTAACCCTGTCCATGGAGGACAGAAGGAAATGTATATATGCTGATTAGCATCACGAATGTGTGGCCACGTCTGTGGTAGAGAATATTAAAAAATTAAAAATATATAAATAAAAATACAAATATTTATAGAAAACAGGGTGTAGATATTTTATATCCTTTACTATGTTAATTCGTATATTTTTTTAAACAATTACAATTTTAACTAGATTTAATAAACTTTTTGGTATTGGCTTAAGAAACTTTAATTTTATTCTTGAGGTAAGAAGTGTGTACTAACGATAGTCAAAGAAAACTATGGCACCCTAAACTTAACAGAAGTAGCTAATTTTTTGGTGAGACCTAAATGCTCTGGGCTGATACATCAAGCACACACGATAACACCAGTGACAATCTTAAGGATAATTTTTATTTACTGAATTTTTATCTTTATTTTATTTTTTTAAATTGGAATCATTTTCTCCATAGATATTTAAGAGCCATGGAGCTGTGATCTTCAGACCCAGAGATGACTAGTGCGACATCTCAGCGTCTGTGTTGCGTTTTCTATCATACCCTTGTCTCCAGTTTTCTGACATGTCCTTTTCTCTAGTACCCCTGTTATATCAACCCGTCCTCCGAATAGGGCGTGGCAGTTTGACGCATACTCTACCTAAGGCTAAAAATAGTTGTACTAGAAAATGGTAGTTGGTCACGACTTTGACTTACTGTCTCGTTTTCTATTTTGGGTCATCTGGAAAGTTAAGAAATGGGCTCTGAAGTTACTTGATATTTGGAAATCTTAGGAGGACGGGCTGGTTATAATGCAGTGTACCTTAGGAAACTGACCTTCTAATATCTATCACGTATATATTATGTGATACCTCTCTCATCTTCTTTCTATAGTATATTTTGAGTTTTTTTTAGATGAACCTATTAAGTTAGGTGCTATATCGTGTCTGTCTCTGTTGTATATGTTTTCTGTATTTCACCTATTTCAGAAATATCTCTTGATTTGAATGAGGGCGGGCGGTACTTAAGGTGGGACAGTACAAGAGATTTGAATAGCAAGAGAATTGTGGTGGAATCCCTGGACTTGAAGGTTCTCATAATCCACCCTTTCATTTTTCTGGCTGACGATATGTTTGGTTGATTATGCACATTAAACGCAAGTCGTATTCTCTATTTCGTTTAAGTTAAATTTGTAATTTCTTAAGTGAAATGTGTCATTGCTAAAAATCATGAAATTTTTTACTGCATATTTACAGTTTTTCATTGTCTTTCAGAGGTCATTTTCATGCTGGGTTTTGTTTTGTATGAACATGACTTTACGAAGCTGTGCTTTGTAAATTTGTCTATATCTAATGATGATGTTCGTCCTTCGTTGTCGAAGCTGACCATAACTTCAATATATGGTTTGAAGTCATGACTTACGCTTGACTTAGATTACAGTGAGGGAGAGTTGCGCAAATCGTTAGCCTCACTCTCTCGTCCCGGCCTATCTTGGTCCAGCAGCAAGTGGAGACAGGTTAGGATGCAGCGGATGGCCAGCAGTGTTCCAGGTGTCAAACTGCGCCCTAGTTTGCTGGTCTGCTTTCCTCCCCGCTGAACTATTCTGGTGATTACCTCGCACAGTCTGCCGGGTCCAGTTGTCGCATGCATAGGTAGACAAGCCTTAGTTGTTAGGCCCTCAAATCTTCGGCTCTCCTCACTTGGCGATAACTGATATATGTGAGTGAGAAATAGCAGTGGTTCTAATACCATGCCATTGGGAAAAGCTTTTCACTGTGCTCAGACATGGTTTTGCTTGATTTAATTATTTCTCCTGGCATTCTACTTGACAGGACACTGATAATTGTGCTGCCTTTTCTGTCATGTTCCCCCCTTTTTTTTATCTTTATTTGTATTTGTTCTCAACACTTTTTATTCTTTATGCTCAATTAGTATTAAGTTCTAGATATTAATGTTTTTCTTGCCCGAAACGCATTGCGTAATAGTGGCTTTAGGCATTGTATGTACTAGCTCTACCTATATATCAATCCATTAATGTAACATCACTTGTATGTATGTGTTACCTATCGTTCGTTACGGCTCGTGACCCTACAGCAGCCAAGCTTTAATTACGTCTAGGGATATCACTGCTGCTCTCTAAAGCGCGTCACCAGTATAACCCCTTGATAAGTAATGAGCACATAAATAAAACTCTTCCTTTAGGACTGAAGAATAGATACAAAATATTATATAGATATATATTCAAGACAGTATAATATAAAAACACAGATGGTTAAGTTAACTTATACAATAAATGAAAGTATTGTCATTGCACGTAATATATAATAGTAAACTATGGCACAACAAGAAATAACAGACTTATCTCCCACATGTTACTCCTCCTGGTTCCCCGAAGCTACTTACTCTCGCTCTGGCGCTACCCACATTCTCACCTCCCGTCTGCCTCATCCCAGGATGAGGGATGGAAACTAAGGACTTTTTAATATTTAAAACTAATTGAACAACCACTTGTTCTCAAAACACACAAGAATGCAAATTACAGATAATAGTTACTTACAAAATATATAAGTACAATGCCACCTGTTTAATTACAGTATATAAACAATTATATAACTAAATAAAAGTGACATCTGGAACTCTCAAACTGAACAGGTCCAGCTTTCCCGTATCAATCAGGTAATAGACGTGTGCAAAGGCAACCGCGCTCTTGTCCACTGACGCTGCCACACCATACGACAATTTACCAAAAAACACAATGTGTGTACATATACATGCAATGATAAAATAAAATAAAATTTATTTTAAATTTATATACGTATTCTGCTAGGAGTACGTAACACTTCCACCTCCAATGAAAAAAAATGCAATAGATTGAAGATCAATGGCATTTTTTCAAAGTAAAATGTATGACACTTGAGATTTATGGTATTAATTACACCAAACATGTATAAGTAATAAGAACACATTTCTGGACAAAAATGAAAACACTCCAAATATAGTCTTACAGGAAACTCAGAAATGTCAGTCTTATGACTATGTTCTACATATGTGTCACTGGAGTATGCAAATTTATCTCTCCAAGGTACTATCTCATTTATTTCACTTTGTTTCAGATCATATTTCACACTCCTATCTACAACAGTATCATTAGTAGCATGAATAGAATTGTCAATAA